ATAAAAATCAATGTATACTATATTCAAGTTGCAGTCAAGCAAAATGTAATCCACTATTCTGTGCAATTTACATGAACTTATAAAATCATTTTCAGATTCTATATATATGGAAAGATTTATTAACTACCTAATTGTTTTAATTCAGCGATCTATCTAACACAGATACTCCAGTAGTTTTTGGTTAAGAGAAACAGGCTAGTGAAAAAGAAATCTTTATCCATTAGAATTTGATGAACACATACACACACACACACACACACACACACACACACACACACAGACTCACACATACATATGTCCAAATTCACTACAGCCAGTTATTTCTTGCCAAAATTCCACTGTTGGAATTCAGCATTTTAAATAAAATATTTGTAGGATTAATTTCAACAGATTGCTCGCTAAGTTCCTTTGGATCATCAGTTCTATGGATTTTGATTTCCACTCATCCTGTGTCAGGTCAAGACACAGGTTTTATTTTGACCCTGAAACAGGCTGACCTCAGGAAGACCTTCCTTGGTCCAGGAGTTGATATTGCCATGCTCCATCATCCACTATGTCCTACACAATTGTGTTTCAATTTCATACTTATTTTTCTCTATGATTGAGACGCTGGTACAGAACATATTCAATGTATCTCTAAATTTTCATGTTATGTCCACTGAATCATGTTCTTCTTCAGTCAGTATTCACATTTCTTAAACAAGGTTAAAAGCACTCCGTGGCACAGACTATTTAAGAGGTGGAAACAGCCTCCTTTTTCTCTGGAAACCCAGTCATGTGTATTATGTATGTCCATGTGCAGATATTCTGGAAACTTGAAATTTAATTCCTACCTTAGAAATGCTTCTTTCTGTATTCAGATCATGACTTCACACTTTGCTTCCAAAACTTTCAGTAAATGCAGAGTAATCATGACTATCTGAATCAAAAGAAGAATGAGGATTGAGGGAAAAAAATACTTTTCTATATAGAAATAGCAGATGGGCCTGTAGACTACACATGCAACAATGAAGTCAATATAAAGATTGTCAAGACATGGACCTGCAGGAGAATTTTCTAAATGGGTGCCATTTTCCATGAAAATCATATTGCAGCTGGAACAGGACAGGGTTCTGAGGTTACAACTGCCAGGCAAGCACCATAGCACACATCTGAAGGAATCAGGTGGAAGCCAGTTCACAGGTCAGGTCACAGACTTCACATATTTATAAGGAGACTCCAACTTCATCAGATATAATCTAGTCTATCTGTCTCCATCTCAGAACACCTTATCCCACAGTTGCATTTCTAGCCTCTATGTTGTTTCCTTGTGTATTTGATTCCTGCTCTCTGGGAAAATCCTCCAGCAACCAGGTTCCAATACTAGGGTTTTTGTCAACTGGTGACCATGGATCCAAAACATGGTAGCAAAAATATAAAGGAAGACTCCATATAATGAATTGCCCTCATCTCCCTGGTCCTCTTTTTAGTTGACAATGCACACAGCCTTCCTTCATCACCGAATAGCTGGTGATGAAAGACCAAATATTTGAGACTGAAAGGACAGAGAAAGTGATCCAATACCTATACTGATGAGCAAGTTGACAGGTGCCTTTCCTGGATTACATCTGGGCTACTGCAGTGCTCCACAAAGGGCATTAGTACACTCAAAATGAGGTTTCTCTTGTATATACAGAGCAGGTATTGACTAACTGTATTTTTTGGAAGTTTACTCCTACATGCAGTAAGTAAGATGGAAACTGTACTCCAGTGAATTCAAATTATGTAGTCTGGAAATGACTCCTAAACTGGGTGGGGGGGGGGTTGAGAACAGGCTGGATATACTAGGGTGTGAGATGAGGCCAATAGTTTTACTGCCTTATGATAAAACAAGGCCTACTTTAACTTTTCAGGAGAGATATGGGAATCCAGGACATTTATACAGACCTATCTCTTCAGCAATATTTTTCATTTGCAGACATGTTTTCACTATGTTTCCAAGTTACCAAGCCTGGCTTTAAATTGCAAAGTTGAAAACCTCTTGCCTCAGGTTCCCAGATGGCTTAAATCAAATGAAATCACCAACTTTCCTATGTCTGAAACATTTTATTAAAAAATAATAAAACAAAATTACAAAATATAAATATGAACTACATTGTAGTAATTCATCAGCAATATTCTATATCAAGATCAAGTGTGCAGAAATCCCAAATGCCTCAATGTATATTAAAATATTGGTGAGTAATATTTTTCACACATGGAAACTTACACAAATAACATTTTATATATACTTAAAATTTTAGAATATATTGAAAAATGTACACAAGTAAATAACTAAATCTTACTAAACACAGTAATTAGCATAATAACCACAGTATAATCAGAATCTAGTGAATGTGTTCTCTTTCTCTTCATATCTCATACTGCCTTGCACTTAACCTTCTTGTCAGTTTGTGGCATCACGTGATGGCTCTCAAATTATGCAACATGAGATAAATGATGACTCCATGTAACATCAGATTTATTTATGCTACTGAGAACGAAACATGACTTAGACTTTCTCAACATTTATTTCTGAGTTTTATTTTAATATCATAAGATGCTGCTGAAATGCCACTGTGGATCATGTGCCTAAATGGGTACTACGAGAGTTTAGCAGTGCCATGTCCCCAAAGACTGTACAGAGAGCAGCAAAAGTGGTGTATTATTATCGTGCATGAAATTTATTGCTAGAAATATAATGCTACAACCTGGGCATGAAGGTTTATGCTTGTAATCTCAGGACTTGTAAGGCTAACACAAGAGGATTGCTGGAAGTTCAAGATCAACCTGGACTACAAATGGAGCCCAAGGTTAGCCTGAACTACAAAGTGAGCGCATGACCAGCCTGGCCTACAAAGTGAGCCCAAAATCAGCCTGAACTTCATAGCAAGACTGTTTCAGACAAAACAAAACTAATGGTACAAGTCTCGTGCATTGAATTCACGCACTTGTAGTTGTTACCTTATTTATTGCACACTGGTGATTCTTTCTTTCTGGTGTCATGATTTAAACATCACTTCCATCACTCACTAGTGCTATTCTGGCAATCATATTCCATGCATTTTCTTTGAACCCTAGGAACTTATGTGAAATCATGATTCACTTGCATACTCAGGATATTACTATTTATAAATGACTGCCTTAATCTTAGAAGGATGGTGCTTACATTTGTAGAAAAGTATATGATTGTAATAGGCAGTAGGAGCATACTTCTTTCAAAATAGAGATGATCAAGAAAGAGAAAAAACATAAATTGGGCATGTTAAGGCAACAATAATGAACTCACACCTATTATACCCACTGATGCCTTCCAAAGATGAACACTTACATTGTGAACTAAAAATAGGCAGTAATGCATTTATACATATTTTAAATTTTCTTTTGCTTTTGTGATTATCTTCTCATAAACATACATACATAGTTGCATGTCATGAGCTGTTGTGAAGGACACTGCTAATGTGTTTGTGAAGATCCTTCTACAAGAAATAATTGATACACATCCAACTGGAAAAGAGTGGAAAAAATAGGTGTCATCTATGCAGATGTTGGTGGATCAAAAATGTGGGGGAAATTCTTCAGAATCCTTGAATTATCTTTAAAAACTATATTTCCAATAGTAAGCCTACAAATACTTTAGCTAGTTACATGTGATACTGAAGCATAAAATAAATGTGCTTTGGATTATCTCCATCAAGTGTGATCGCTGGAAATTCTATGAAAATATATTCCCATCAATTTTTTTGGTATTTCTACAGATCTTGACTACAAGAGTAATTTGCAAAGTATTTTCAAAATAGTCACTTACATATGTCAAATTTGTTTTCATAGTGCTGACTTTCATGTATTTGACCATATGCAGGAATACTGAGTGCTTTCTCAGACAGCATACAGAGGCATAATGTTGGAGGTTAGCATCTATGTCAATGGAAAATTTTACTCAATACATTTTTCACAGCTATAACAGATTGTGTGAGAAATTTATCATTTATACAATGAAAAATTTGCAAGAAATCCTTCTCACATTAACTACTTACATGTAATGTTTCCCTGTTTGCATTATTTCATTATTTGATGGCATTATTGTGCACTGAATGCTTTTCTCCATTGTTGGAATGCATAGGGTTACTTCCTTATATGAACTCTTTCATGTCATTATAATCACTGGTGGTGGGCAAATTTGCTGCATTGCTTACATGCATACAGATTCTCCCCATTGTGAGTTCTTTCATGTGTTCTTCCAGTACAAAACGAACTGAATGTTTTCCCAAGTTGCTTACCTACATAGGGTTTCTTCCCATTGTGGAATGTTTGATACATTTACAAGCTATGGGCTTGGCTGATAGATTTCCCACACAGCTTACATACTTAAGTTTTTTCTCTGTGTGGGATCTTCTAGTTCTAGAAAATGTGGATTATCAGCAGAGCTTTTAAATTATGACTTATATAAGTTTTCTCTTGAGTGTGAATTATTTTATGGATGAGATTACAATATTGATTGAGATATTTTCCACATTATGCACCTACATAGTCTTTCTCCCTACTGAGATTTCTATCATGTTTTTATAACCTGTTTGTATACTGAACATGTTTCTAAATGTCTTGCATGATAAGATTTTTCCCTAATTTAATTTCATTCTTGTTTCTGACAGTGATTGTGTCTGTCTTTTCATTTGTGATGGTATATCTTAACATTAGGATTGCTACATGGATTCAGGCCATGAGCACAAGCACAATATTGAATATGAATGTATAGACACTTCTTGGTAAACTGATCCAAGAGTTACAGATTCTGATGGGAAAAATTGTCATGAGACAATTAGGTGTCATCCATCAAAACAAGACATTGGCGGATCAAAACATGGAAAAAATGATATAGCATACTTAAATTTTCATTAAAAATTGCAACATTTTTATTAAGAAAACATACAGATAAAATATTTATTTAAAAAAAGACAAAAATATTTTAGGATAATTCTGTTTCAGGTTGTCTTCAAAAATGTATGAGCATATATTGACAGAAATTATTTTATAATATTTTGGCAGGTCTCCTCTACATGACTAATTTTGAAATTATTTTCAAAATAGTCCCTTACATATGTATGATTTCACTTAACTCGGATTACTTTCACACTTTTGACAATAAACGTGTATACTGTATACTTTCCCACATTGCATACATAATCTTGGGCCATAGTATGACATCACTCAGAAGGTTAGCAGCTATCAGCTGAACTTTTACCAAAACTTCCTTACATGCAGTTACTCCCCAATGTGAGAAGAATCTTATGTTTTCAAAAGGGAAGCACTGCAGCAAATCTTTGCCACACTGCCTACATATATATGATATCTTCCTTGTATGCAAAATTTCCCTATGGCATTTTTGTGTGCTATGTATGATCTACCATTGTTCAATTGCATAGAATTACTACACAGAGGGAGTTCTTAAATGTAGTGGCAATCTCAATGGTATGGAAAGTCTTTCTATATTCCTTATGTTCATAGGATTTTTTCCCAGTGTGATATATTTGATGTTATAAAGTGAGAATGTATAAACAAATCCATTTACTCATTTCTCATATAGATAGGGATTTTTTTATAGAGTGAATTTTTTTCTATACAAAAAAGCTACTATTATAGCTAAAATACAACACAAATTACTTACATCAATGGAAAGGGTTCATTTTCAGCACTTCTGTATACTGAATGTTTTGGTATATTGGTTGTACCATAGATGTTCTATAGGTTGTGAGTTCTTTCATGAGTAATAAGGTGACTGCTTTGACAGAAAGATTTCCCACATTGCTTACATACAAAGGGTTTCTCCCCAGTGTGTATTCTATAATGTGATTTACAAGTAGAGGATGTACTGAATGCTTTCCCACATTTGTTGCATGCAAAGGGTTTCTCCCCAGTGTGAATTCTTTCATGTTTAATAAGGTCACTGTTTTGACTGAAAGTTTTCCCACATTGTTTACATGCAAAGGGTTTCTCCCCAGTGTGAATTCTATCATGTGCTTTACAAGCAGAGGATGTATTGAATGCTTTCCCGCATTTGTTGCATACATAGGTTTTATCACCTGTGTGAATTCTTTCATGTCTAATAAGGTTAGTCTTTTTATAAAAAGATTTCCCACAATGCTTACATACAAAGGGTTTCTCCCCAGAGTGAATTCTATCATGTACTTTACAAGCAAATGATGTACTGAATGCTTTCCCACATTTGTTGCATGCAAAGGGTTTCTCCCCAGTGTGAATTCTTTCATGTTTAATAAGGTCACTATTTTGAATGAAAGATTTCCCACATTTGTTGCATGCAAAGGGTTTCTCCCCAGTGTGAATTCTTTCATGTCTAAGAAGGTTAAACTTTTGATTGAAAGATTTCCCACATTGCTTACATACAAAGGATTTCTCCCCAGTGTGAACTCTATCATGTACTTTACAAGCAGAGGCTGTACTGAATGCTTTCCCACATTTGTTGCATGTAAAGGGTTTCTCCCCAGTGTGAATTCTTTCATGTTTAATAAGGTCACTGTTTTGACTGAAAGATTTCCCGCATTGTTTACATGCAAAGGGTTTCTCCCCAGTGTGAATTCTATCATGTGCTTTACAAGCATAGGCTGTACTGAATGCTTTCCCACATTTGTTGCATGCAAAGGGTTTCTCCCCAGTGTGAATTCTTTCATGTATAAGAAGGCTAGGCTTTTGATTGAAAGATTTCCCACATTTGTTACATGCAAAGGGTTTCTCCCCAGTGTGAATTCTATCATGTGCTTTACAAGCAGAGGATGTACTGAATGCTTTCCCGCATTTGTTGCATACATAGGGTTTATCACCTGTGTGAATTCTTTCATGTCTAATAAGGTTAGTCTTTTTATTGAAAGATTTCCCACAATACTTACATACAAAGGGTTTCTCCTCAGAGTGAATTCTATCATGTACTTTACAAGCAAATGATGTACTGAATGCTTTCCCATATTTGTTGCATGCAAAGGTTTTCTCCCCAGTGTGAATTCTTTCATGTTTAATAAGGTCACTGTTTTGACTGAAAGATTTCCCACATTGTTTACATGCAAAGGGTTTCTCCCCAGTGTGAATTCTATCATGTGCTTTACAAGCATAGGCTGTACTGAATGCTTTCCCACATTTGTTGCATGCAAAGGGTTTCTCCCCAGTGTGAATTCTTTCATGTATAAGAAGGCTAGGCTTTTGATTGAAAGATTTCCCACATTTGTTACATGCAAAGGGTTTCTCCCCAGAGTGAATTCTATCATGTGCTTTACAAGCAGAGGATGTACTGAATGCTTTCCCGCATTTGTTGCATACATAGGGTTTATCCCCTGTGTGAATTCTTTCATGTCTAAGAAGGTTAGACTTTTGATTGAAAGATTTCCCACATTGCTTACATACAAAGGATTTCTCCCCAGTGTGAATTCTATCATGTACTTTACAAGCATAGGCTGTACTGAATGCTTTCCCACATTTGTTGCATGCAAAGGATTTCTCCCCAGTGTGAATGTTTTTATTACTTTGACAGCCACTGAGTTTACTGAATGCTGTCCCACATTGCTTGCATTCATATGGTTGCTTTCCAGTGTGAAGTTTCTTATGTTTTTTAAAGAAAGTACTGTGAGATAATGCTTTTGCACATTTTTCAATTATATGATATTTCTCTCTACCATATTTTCTAACAGGTTTTTCAATATTGGATGAAGAAATAGAAATATTCTCATAGTGTTTTTGTACATAGGAGTTTCCCAAATTGCGGTTTGTCTTGGGGGTTTGAACACAGTTAGTTGTTGCATGGGCTTTCACACTTTTGTTACCTACAAAAATTTTCTGCCCGGAGTGAATTTTTTCACTAAGATCAGATCTCTCCTCCTCATTTTTTCCATATTCACTGGGTCTCTCTACAGTGTTCCTCATTTCATGCTTCTGAAAGGACTGGAAATCACTGCAGGTCTCTAAATCTTCATTACATTTATATGGCTGCCCTTCAATTCTCAAATAATTGTCTTCATCACATCTGTGCAGAAATAAAAAAGATATCAATCACAATGGAAAAGGTTCCACATTAGCAATATTTTTTATGATGACAAATTTAGTTTGATTCCTGCTAAGTAATTCTGATGGTTAACTGACTCACTGCCCTGCAGGACTGCTTTCAAAATACTATCCACTCTAAAAATTGTTACAAAAAAAAAAAAGTACCAGGGATTGAACTCACAACTGCATGCTTGCAAGGCAGGCACTTATGCCCCAAGATAAATCCTCTGCTCCATTTAGGCAATTTTAAATTGTTATGTGATTCTAATACTTAATATCATTTTAGGAGACTGGTACAAATGAATAGCAAACATTGATCATTTTTTGTAGCTCTTCGTGTCTTAACTCCCCTTTGTCTATTTAGCCTGATGATCTTTCTCATCTACAGAACATAAGTATTGCTGGTCATATATTCTCTCTCTTTACTTTCACTTCTCAAATAAGTTTTTAATTTCTCATTTAAGAAAAAACCTGAGTTGTGGCTAGGGATTTAGCTCAGCAGCATAAGCACCAGCCTGGCAAGCATGAGATTGTGAGCTCATTCCTCAGTACCAAAAGAGAGAGAGATAGAGAGAGAGAGAGAGAGAGAGAGAGAGAGAGAGAGAGAGAAGAAAACCTGTAATATTTCCATTTCTATGTCTGAATTACTTCACTTAAGGTCCAATATTTCTTGTTTCTTGGGAAATGATATCATGGTTCCCTGTATAGCTTTTTTTCAACGTGGAGTTAAACACAGATAATAGAATGAACTTCATTTGCTGACTTATTATTTGTTTTGTTGAGAGAGATTTTTATTGGCCATCAACTTGTCCAAGCTGAACTTCAAGTTATCATCCTGCAGATTCAGCTTCCCCAGCTGCTTGGGGATTGCAGGAATGCACCACAATGTTGAGCTGACTCCAAATTTTCTTTACCTTGGCATGCAGTGATGGGCATCTGGGCTCTTCTCAATGCTTAGCTACTGTGAGTTGATTCTTGTATTAGATATTGTAAATGCCTTTTCATGTGCTTTAACAAACAACACACTCATGGTTCACTAACATTTGATGATTTTAATGTATTTGACAATATACTGAGAGAATCATTACACATAATGACACAGTATGACCCACTCAACAGTCAGGAGGTAGAGGCAGGAGGATTGCTCTGAGTTTCAGGCCATTATGGGCTTCACAGTAAGTTCAAAGTCAACCTGAACTACAGTATAAAATCATGGCTCAAAAGACTTAAAAAAGGATATCATTGTGGATGTATATGTGAAACAATATGAAACATGTTGTTTTAATTTTCAGACCACTGAATAGTTTTTACCATGTTTGTATTTTATGTATCCATCAGCAATGTATGAGGAATTTTAAACATGAACAGCTCAATATTTTATAGGATATTTTCATAGTACTTATTGTAACAGTAGAATTCATTTTCATTTTGAAAGCTGATGCTATGTGAATATAATTCTAGATCATGAAAGTCTCAGTATTCACATGTATATATAAATGGTGTTTTGAAGATGGGTTTTTATCAACTTTCACAATTTGTTCATTTCCTACATATCAAAATACAATATTTAAATTTATTTTCATACATTTCTATGATGTTGATCATGAAGGCAATTTTTAAACTGATACATTAGATAGTGTTATTTACTACATGTATTAGAATTACCTCTGATTCTTATATTTCAATATGTTTCTATGGATTCCCAGATAATACAAAATAAAATCAAGTATATCTCTTGGTATTTTTTGAGGTTAAATAAGGTATAACATGATCTCATTTCTTCAGGTTCCTTTGTTTTAGTATTTATGCTCACACACTGACAATAAAGTAATGTTCTATTTCTCTTATGTGTTACAGTCACCTTATATTACTTGAGCAATTTTGGTCCTCTTCCTTAATTTGCTGATTATTCCATATTTTTCCTGTAATATGGACATAGAAATAAAATACACTTACTATAACTGTACATTAAAATATCTCTGATTTGATTTATACTCATAGTATAGTATAATCAGACTTGAGATATACAAGCAAATGTTATTATTATCAAATATATTAAACTGTATCAATGAGCAATAATTAATGCTGTTAGTATAAACAAACATGTCATCCTTACCTGTTGCAGTAATATTCATATATGTTTCCCACATCACTCCTCTGTAGAGCTTCTTTTGGGATGGAGTCAGCAAATCCCACTCTTCTGGAGTGAACTTCACAGCTACATCCTCAAAGGTCACTGTCTCCTAAATAATGACATGGGTCCTGAAGTTCAGGGATACATAACCTGATATACCTCAGTTCCTGTAATAAGTAGTCTAACTGAAATTCATTCTTTCAAGTATTAACTGCATGTTATGGTCATAAAAACTCAAGTACATTCAAATATAGTCACCCAGTAACACTGATGCTAGACTATGACACACTGCTAAAGCAATCACAGAACTGTAGCATGGTTTGTCCCGCAGGGCCACCAATAGTGTAGTTTTTCACTTACTTCAAAGCAGAGCTCAAGAGTTAGGATGCAAACCACCATTCACAAAATATTGGTTATTCATAACACGGAGTTTGTCTTTCTTATCAACAGCATCATGGTCTTGAATCTAGATTTATAGATAAATATTTGGTTGAATATGAAAAGAGATTTCTGAGTGATTAAAATTTAATGACAGAAAAGTTTTATTTGACCATTCTATAGACAAGGAAATAAGGGAAAATGTAGTTATAAATCTATAGCTCAGGGATTCTAAATTATCTCCTTGTAATTATATATGGGAAATTCCACTAGGGTGCAAAGGAAGATAATGTGGGGAAAAAAACATATATGAATTGCTTGAACTAGAGTGAAAATTGCAGAATAGCAAAGTAACTGGTCACTAAATACAGAAGGAAGAGTTCAGTACAGTGGAGTAGTATATGCTTGTACTCTCAGAACTTGAAATCATGATGTAAGAGGATTACCAGAAATTTCATGCTTGCCATGCATACAGTGTCCAACCTGGGCTTTGTAACAAGGACAGTTCAGACTACAAAGTGAGGCCATTCATTAAACCCTGTACCAAATGAAAATTAAAATTAATTCACAGTCATTGACAAATTACAACTTTGCACCCAGGATATATCTCAATGGTACACGCACCTATATGACATTTGCAAGGGCCTGAATACAATTTCCAGTACCAAAAAGAGAATTCAAGTGCACCTTTGATTAGTAACAACAACTGTACATGTATGTTAGAGAAAAAAACCTGCAAACATTGAATATTTGTGTGCAAGGAAACATTTTGCATAATAAACAGGAAAACATTTGACATTCAACATTCATATCAGTGGACAAATGGATCTCAGGAAAGGAAAACAACCTTCAATTCATTCACATGGAATATTATGTCACAACTCAGCTGGCATTGTGCTTCTAAGCAAGAAAGCACAATATGTTTCATTTACATTCAGAAAGAAACAGGTATGTCCCTAGAAATCTGGCCTGCACACTATCCTTGCCTATGTGCATTGGTGAACAATTGAAATGGGAAAGAGAAACATGAATTACTGTGAGATTTATACTGAAAAATAGTTAGTGCAAAACTCTTCTGAAGAAAATCAAGCAGCCATGAAAATTAGAAGTTGAAATCTATGAAAATTGGAATTAAACAAGAAAACATTTATTGGGAACACAATACAAAGATTTTACATAGAGTTAAGATCAATGAGCACAAATCTAAAAATAAACAAAATTTATGTTTTGTTTATGCAGAAATAATGAATAGAAAAGAAAATCTAAATGACATTTGTGAAAATAAACAAACAATATTGAAGTGTGGAAGAAAAAATAATTAGATTTATTCTTAAATTCCACAAACTCCTTTTCTATGGAGTTTATGAAAATCTACACACAAGTGAATTCCTTCTAACGTCTACAAAATATTTTCTTCTATGATTCCTTGAAATACACGTGATTCTTTTCAAGTGAAATTACAGACTCAGAAACTGTGACCAAGAGAATAAATGAGAATGTACTTTGGTTTTGATTCACCTATCAGCCCTTGTGAATGACTGTGAGAAATGATTGAATTGATAAATACCACAAAAACCTCACAATATATTTTTATGTGCAATTTCAATGGTAGTTTCTAAAAACTTAAAGGGAATAAGTTAAAAATATAATTTCCATAAAAGAGCACATTGTAAACTTTGGAATACTTCCAAAGAATAGTCATCAATTATGCAATAATACTTTCTGACCTGAATGTATTTTTCACACGGTTACCTTCATTTCTTGCTTAAGATCCTTTAGTGAAACTTTCTGAATACACCTGTGACTCTTTCACTGTTCTCATTAAATCTATACACATAAGCTTTGAGAATAAGATTTTCTTTAAATGATTAAAACAATAAATTGCAATACAGGTACTAACTGATTTGTATGTGTTTATGTGTCTTGAGATATGAAATGACTGGACAGTTTCTATATTAGATAGTGATAAACAAACTACAGTTACAAATATCAGTGTAAAAACCTCAGTGCTAACAGTTGTGAAATTTGAAATTCACCAAAAGGAAAACAGGTAGGCCTATCCGAAGTGGAGACATTATTAGGAGAACAGATTAAAAGGGACTGAGAAAACAGGTGTCAGAGCTGATTAATAGCTAGACAACTAGGTAATCTGCAAATACTCTCATGATCCGGAGAGCAGTGTTTATTGTGTGCACACTGATACCATAGGTTAAATAGTAAGCTATGCAAAAAGACATACCTCAATGCCATTGATTCAACAAAACATATGGACACTACATGAGCTTGATTATATTCCACATGTACAATCAGCGGTTATTTAGAAACAAATATCATTCCTTAATATATGGCCCATATAAAGAGCAATCAACTATATAAACAGAAACAGAATTGGAAGAGAAAAATCAATCATTTACAAGTATATATTTAAGAGTTCAAAACATCTTCATCAGTGACTGAGAGCTCAAGAAGGCAGAGCAATCTTTAAGGTCACACATAAATTCATCAAAATAACAATTCAAAGCAATATAATAGATGGATTCTATTGATGGGTTTATCACAGAAAAACATAGCACACTGTCCTCACAGCAAGCCAAGAAGTATTCACACATGTAACCCAGGTTCAACACAGCAATACAGAATGTAACATAGTCAGTGGAGTGGAAATCATGCAAAGCAGGCTCTTACACAATACTGTAATAAAATTATAAATGAAAAGCAGAAAAAATGAAGAATGCTCTTAGAATGAGAGATCAAATCACAAATTTTAAATAACATTTCAAAAAACCTTAAATAATTAAGGATTTCACAATCCATGTCAATG